TACACGGAGAACTACTGGCAACTAAGGAATGCCGGGAGCGGGAGAAACAGTTTCACCGAGAGAAGAGCACACCAACCGGTGATCCAACACCAATGGTCAGCACCGAAAACAAAGACATACCAGGGACATCACAGGGACTGAGCAGGTTGTAGTTAGACACACGTAACACTAGTTAAATAAAGAGAAGCCATGAATTTGAAAGAGAGCAAGATGGGGTACATGGGATGGTCTGGAGGGAGGAAAGAGAAAATGGTAAATGATGTAATTATAATCTTAAAAATAAAAAATATATATATTTTAAAAAGTGTCAACAAATCTAAAATACTGAAATCCATACAGTGTATTCACTGAACATAATAAACTCACACCAGAAACCAGTGACAGAATGAATATTTTGAAATGAAAAACACGTTTCTAAGGGATTCAGGGATCACAGAAGCTTAGAGAGAAGTAAGTAACTGGGTGTGGCCTGTAATCCCAACACTTGTTGGAGCTGAGGCAGGAAGAGCCTGAGTCTGAGACCAGCCTAGGCTATACGGCTAGACCCTGTCTCTCTCTCTCTAATATATATATAGTATCTAATATATTATAAATATGTAAGCATAATAGAGAAGTCAATGTGGAACTCTGTGGGAAGCAGCTACGGCGGTGCAGAAAAAAGCTCCACTAGGTAAGAGTGTTCGTCTTAATAACCTAAGCTCTTAACCCGGCGGGGCAGCCACAGAGCTAACCACTCACGGCCACAGAGCTAACCACTCACAGCCACAGAGCTAACCACTCAGGAGGCCACAGAGCTAACCACTCACAGACACAGAGCTAACCACTCACGGCCACAGAGCTAACCACTCAGGAGGCCACAGAGCTAACCACTCACGGCCACAGAGCTAACCACTCAGGAGGCCACAGAGCTAACCACTCACGACCACAGAGCTAACCACTCACGGCCACAGAGTTAACCACTCACGGCCACAGAGCTAACCACTCAGGAGGCCACAGAGCTAACCACTCACGACCACAGAGCTAACCACTCACGACCACAGAGCTAACCACTCACGGCCACAGAGTTAACCACTCAGGAGGCCACAGAGCTAACCACTCACGGCCACAGAGCTAACCACTCACGGCCACAGAGCTAACCACTCACAGACACAGAGCTAACCACTCACAGACACAGAGCTAACCACTCACGGCCACAGAGCTAACCACTCACGGCCACAGAGCTAACCACTCAGGAGGCCACAGCAGGACAGCAAGCTCCAGGCCTGCTTGAGACCACCCCAGCCACTTACCAAGACACTATCTCACAATAAAAAGTAAAAAGAAGGCTGGGTATGCAGATCAGGGGCACAGCACTTGCCCAGCAGACCTAAGGCCCCAGGATTAACCCCCAGAATCATCATAAAATAAAGTCGGAGGAAACGGCACTAATTTTAAAACAGTGTAATTTGAAATCAAGAAGGTTCGATACCAGCTAGAGGAGATCCACACGCCCGAGCGGCAGAGGAGAAGGCTCAAGGCAGAGCCTCCCAAATGCAAAGCTTCACCTTATGCAGTTGACTTAAAAATGCACCACCACATAGGCACCGTTACAACTTTTAAGAGCAAGTCTATAGAAGAGTATATTCCTGAGTGGGTTTAAAGAGTTCTTAGTCAGGAAACCAGAAGATACAACACGAGTGGGAAACCAATAAACTAGATACCAAAATTTAAAAAAAAAACCAGCAACACAGGGTGCTCTTCAGTGGTTCTCAACCTGTGGGTCGCGACCCCTTTGGCACACTTCTATCTCCAAAAGCATTTACATTACAATTTATAACGGTAGTAAAACTATAGTTATGAAGTAGCAATGAAAATAATTTTATGGTTGAGGGTCATCACAGCATGAAGAACTGTACTAAAGGGTCGCAGCATTAAGAAGGTTGAGGACCACTGTACAAGCAAGTAAGAGAGCATGCTACACAAGACTGATGACTTAAATTCAATACCCGGATGCCATGGTGGAAGGAGAGAACTGGCTCCCGGAAGCTGTCTTCTCACTTCCACATGTGCACGTGACATGTGCACACTCCCCCCCCCCCCCCCCCCCCCCCCCCCCCCCCCCCCGCCATTTCATCACAATAATACAATTTCAAGACGTAAAAACATTAACCAGGCATGGTAGCACACACCTGTAATCCCAGTATTTGGAACGTGAGGCAGGAGGATCAGAACCTCAAGTTCATCCTCGGGCCAGAGTGAGTTCCAGGCCAGCATGGGCTAAAGAGAAAGTCTCAAACCAACCAAACCAAACCTAAACAACAACAAAGAAACAGCCCAGAAGGTGGTCACGCTCACCTGAGATTCCTGCACTTTCGAGGCTGAGACAGGAGGGCAACACGTTCAAGACTACGCTGTGTACGTATTTGGAGGACCCTTTCTCAAAAGTAAAGAAATAAATATAAACATTTGTTGTTTCAAACGATGACGAATAAGGAAGGCATTGAACAGACAAGACACCGTCTAGGAGAAAACACTTTTAAAATACGTATCTGACATGACTGGTATCCAGAGCTTCAGAAGGAACCCTCAGGCTCAACACAAGAACACGCAACCAAGTTAAAAATGAGCAAAAGACACAGACAGCAGACACACATGCGTGTGCATGGCACACGAGTACACAGTCAGACATTCAGTAACTGTGGCTATGAGTTAAAGGCACATGATTCCCGATGACATCCCAGGGTGTGTATGGGTAAGCAGAAAAGAGGAGGAGCGACTGAGCCGGCAGGAATGCAAAGTGACCGGGCTACCCTGGAGAACGGTTTTCATCGCTGAGGATACTACAACTGAAGAGCTGATGTCCTGTATAATCCCCAAACATCACACAACTCAATACCCTACAGAACTAAAAACTGAAGTTCCACACAAAACTCTGTAGAATACACACACACACACACACACACCAATCTATGGCCATACCATCCTGATCATGTCTCATCTCAGAAGCTAGGCAGGTTGGATCTGGCTAGGAGATTTGCTTGCTTTCATTTTAGTACATATTGATGTATTAGTGTTTTGCCTGTGTGTCTGTGTGAAGGCATCACCAGATTCCCTAAAACTGCAGCTATAGGCAGTTGTGAGCTGCCGTGTGGGTGTGGGAATCTACCCGAGGTCCTCCGCAAGAACAGCCAGTGCTCTTAACCAGTGAGCCATTTCTCCAGCCCTATCACATCTATATACATAATCACCTAAAACTGAGAACTACCCAAATGTCCTTCAATGGGTGGTTAATATAATTAGATATATTTGGCACATCCACCTAATTAAACACTACTTAGCAATAAAAAAGGAGGGGGGATTATCCATACAGGAAACAATGTGGGAACAGACAATTGGCTCAATAGCACAGTGTTTGCCTAGCTTGACAAAGCCCTGGATTCCATGCCTAACACCACACACACCTGGCATGGTAGCACATATCTGTAATCCCAGCACTTGGGATGTGGAGGCGGAAGAATCATAACCTCATGGCTATCCTTGGCTACCGGAGCAAGTTTGAGTCTAGTGTGAACCACCTGAGATCTTGTCTCAAAGATAAATAGATATAGATAGATAGATAGACAGACAGACAGACAGTCTCCAAAATAACCAATATGGATGCATCTTGAGTCTCAAGGGCATTATATTTAGTCAGTGAAAAAGTTATCAACATCCCAAACTGTTACACTTAAATGACATTCTGAAAACATCAGTAACTCCGAGGAATCAAAAATAAGAAGTATGATATAAAGAGACAGCGTGAGGTTTTAACATATAATAGGACCGGCTTTATAGCCTGACTGCATTGGTGGTTACATGAAACTAAAACTCCAAAAGTTTTTTTTTAATCATATGAAAGTTAAAAAATAATAAACAAAGACGTGAGAACAGTTTATAGCTCTGGGAATTACTGCTGAGATTCTCAGAAACTAGAGTTAAAACATTGCATCCCAGCATGCAGGAGGAAGAGGCAAGTGGATCTCTGGCTTTGAGGCCAGCCTGTCTACATAGCAAGTTCCAGGCTGGCCAAGCCAATATGGTGAGACCCTGTCCCAAATTACACACATTAAAAAACAAAAATCCAAAAAACTGCATCAAAATAATTATGTTCTTAGAAGGGCACAATTCTGAATCTAATTAAAAACTGACAGTAATTATAAATATCCTTCCCTCTCAAATCACTTGGCAACCAATACAGTCTTTCGCGTTAGCAAAGGATGGGTCAACTTACTAAGTAACGGGTGGCTGGGTTTGGTTTTTACGTCGTGCAACTGCCTGGACGTTTGCAAAAAGCACAGAATTGCTCTTGCCGCGCAGCCCGGTGCGGACCCTGCCTCGCCCGCCGGAGTGAAGAAGTTCTTACACACTCGAGTTCCTGCTCCAGGGAAACCACGGCGACGGACCGAGCGGCGGGCGGCGGCCGGGAGCGATGGCACGGAGCGGTCCAGCCCGTCCGCGCGCGGGCTGTCCCCACGAGGACCGGGGAGGAGAGCACCGCCCGCCGCAGCTCCGGTCCCCGCCCACAGCGACTTCCCGGCCCCGCCACCCGGGAGCCCGCAGCCCCCGAGCCGAGGCCGCGCAGGCCGCACTCACCTCCTGCCCGCAGCCCGGAACCCTCGGCACCGAGCCCGCAGCCCGGAACCTGGAACCCGCAGCACCGAGCCCGGAACCCACAGCCCGCAGCACCGAGCCCGGCTCCTCCCCGCGGACGCCTCGCACCCGCTCCGCTCTTGCAGAACGGTTATGATTTTTCTAGCGAACTTTATTAGGAATCCCGATGCACGGAGACACTCGTCGCCCACTCCAGCTGGGATGAAGGGCGCGCCAGGCTACCGCCCGCCACGCAGGAGAGCATGCGCCACCTCGACTGCGCATGCTCCCCCGCGCCGGCCCCGCCCTGCGCTGACCGTGAAAGAGCGGGCTGGGTTTGCAGAGCCTCAGGCCTTTGGTACCCAAGGAGACCAAGGTGAGCAGGATGTGCAAACCTGCTGAAGGAGTTCTCCGTTTCCTTTTCAGGAGCCCCACAAGTCTGCCACTAACTGGGACGCACCTGGTAGCATCGGAGTGGTAGAGTGAGCCAAACAGTCTTGAGTGAAGACGAACTCATGCAGCTCGCAGGGTATGACTGGACAAAATAGAAGCCTGAGATCCTTAACCATCTAGAACCAACCGGCAAATGAAAAGGCCCTGCAAAAAGCAATCCAAATGGGCTTCAAACGTGGTATGAGAGAACATGTCTGTGACCCTTGGACCCCAGATCATGGGAAGAAGATCAGGAAGTCAAGGCCATCCTGAATGACAAGAGACCCTGTCTCAAAGAAAATAAACGTGTTTCCATTGCTTCTATATACCTCAAAATAAAACAGAAAATGGTGATCTAAAATACCAAGTGTTGACAAGAATGTGACATAACTGAATTTGATTGTGGTGCTGGAGCAACTTCTTTGAAAAACAAGGACAGTTTGTTACAGTTGTGCACCCTGTGACCCACAGGTCCTTGGTCACACAACTGATCGGAACTGTACTTATGATGTACAGGCAGACAGGTGTCAGAAGACCCATGGCTGCTCCTGTCTTAATAGCCCTCAAATGGGAATAACCCAAAAGACCATCAACAGACAATCAATCATGACTAGACCATCAGTATTGTGTAATGGAAACACTGCACAGGAATGCAAAGGACCCTCTGAAACTGTAGACAACAACACAGAAAATGACAGAAACTTACAGTTGAACATAAAATGCTAGACACAAAAGTACATGTTACACGTTAAGTCCATTTTTTTTCTCCTTCCTTTTTGGTTTTGTTTTGTATGTGTGTATGTTTGTGGGGTTTTGGTGTTTGTAGAGACAGGGTCTGGCTACATATCTGAGGCTGGCTAGATACTTGCAGCTAAGGCTGGATTTTAGCTCACCATCTTTCTGTGCCAAGCTCTTAAGTGCTGGAATTACAAGACTGTGTCATCATGCCCAGTGTCTAGTTCATTTCTGCTGTCAACTCAAAACTCTGGACACTAAAAGTTCTCCAGACTGAAAGGGTTTGTGCATTACAGATGGAAAAAAAAAATGAGCCCCACCACTAGCAGCAGAGCTAGACAAAAGTAGGGACCTCCAAGTCAAAAGCATTAAAACGAAATTTTGACAAAGAAAACCTACATGAAAGAGCATTAAAACGAAACTTTGACAAGGAAAACCTACATTGGCCATAGCTAGACAGCCTGTACAATCCATGTTTGCTTCAGGCACGTCCTAAACAGAATGGTGTGGGCATTGAGCCCTACGGTTTTGAGTCAGCATTTCAACTTTCATTCAAGAATGAGGAAGAGCCCTGGCTCGAGCCCACAGCAGTTAGCTATTAACTTCCCTCACTGCCACTTGCCCAGACCCGAACCTCCTCCATCATCCAGCCCTTGTAATTAAATATAGGACATCCTGCAATTTTTTTCACTATAAAGAACCAAAATGGAAAGATCGAGATGCTGGAAGTTAAGGTAACAGTCCTGTGATGTGCAAGGAATTGTGACCGAAAGAAAGGGCTTCCCTGGTGCTGGGAAGGTAATCTCTGTTAATCTTGCTGCTAGTAATGTGTGTGTATATTTGTGCATTTGTGAATGTTCAAACTGTACTTTCTATAAACCCAGGGCCTCATTCATGCTAGCCAAGCATTCTACCTTTATGCAATAATGAAACTCAAGCTCTACTCTCATCCATTTTTTTTCTGTATGAGAATTGTACTTCACATATAGTAATTTTGAAATGAAAATTTTCAAATTTAAAAATGAGAGATTATTTATCCATGATAAAAATCATTTTTGAGCCATAAATGTCAAGCACTGGTAAGTTTAGCTCTAGGATTTGGTTGGAAATTTTTAACCTTTTTAAAAAATAATTTATTTAACTTTATTTTATGTACATTGGTTGTGAAAGTGTCAGATCCCCTGGAACTGGAGTTACAGACGGTTGTGAGCTGCCTTGTGGGTGCTGGGAATTGAACCCTGGTCCTCTGGAAGAGCAGCCAGTGATACTCTTAACTGCTGAGCCATCTCTCCAGCCCCCAGTTTTTACCTTTTTTATGAAGTAAAATTGGAATTTACTAAGAAAAGGTTTTAATATGGATGGGCATTAAAGGAGAGAGAAGCTTAAGGAAAGGACAGTGTGACAGGTAGTGTTAAGTGTCAGCTTGACAGAACCTAAAATTGCCTGGGAGATGGGCCTCTGGGCACATCTGTGAGGGATTGTCTTGATGATGTTAATGAGTTGGGAAACCCCACCCACTGTGGTGGCACTGGTCCCTGGCTAGATATCTGCACTATATAACCAGAGAAAGGGAATGGAGCAGCCACATAGCATTTTCTGCTCTACATCCCAGATGGTTGACTCAGTGAACCAGCTGCTTCAACTCCTGCCTTTGATTTTTACCACCACCGTGGATTATATAGCCTTTAACTGTGAGCCCCAAATAAACCTTATCTCCCTTACGTTACTTCTATCCCCAGCCACAGGAAAAGAGACTAAGACGATACTACAGGTCACGGTGACACACTACTGTAATCCTAACTCCCAGGAGGCAGAGGCAGGAGGATTGCTTCAGATTTGAGGCCAACCTGGTCTACATAACAAGTTCCAGTCCAAACAGGATTATGTCTCCAAAAGTAAAATAGTAAACGAGTGAGTAAATAATGAAAGAAAATGATAGCATTACATGCCCTAGAATAATGAAAGACTTTTCAAAAAGGTTTTGAAGTTTTGGTTTAAGTGTCATCATAGTACACATATATGACTTTGATGTCCTTGAAGTCGTGTTGTTTAAATCATTTAAAGGATTAGGCTAAGTGTTTGGGGTTCTTTGGTTTGGGTTTTGTTGGTTTTTGCAAATGAAATCCCAGGGTGGGTTCAGGGGTGCTTTGGATTACATTACAGAGTGAGGAGAGAAGAGACGGGCAAAGGGGTCCAAGAAATCCTCACTACATCATGATCACAAGTGGGAGAACAATGAGCCCCACTTCATAGTAAGAGCCCTGGGACTCACGGTAGCGAAAGTGAGTTTATCTTCCAAAGTTACAAGGCTAGGCATCCGCCTAGAACGGCAGGTACACTGATTGAGTGCCAAGAAGGGTTTTTGAACACAGATAATCCTTCCTCCCTGTCCTCTCATTGAGCACTCAGGAAGGCACAGTCTTACAGATCATGGAGAACTCACCATTCACTCCTACATTTCTCCCTTCCTCCATAAGATCCGTGCATTGATTTCCTCTCTCTGTTTTACATCCTGTTCGTTTGAAAGCCTCTCAGGCACACGGCATTGCAGGCAAGCTTGGCTATTAGTCATTTTCTACTCTAAGCCCCTAGTTTAGCCGAGTGGGGTAGCTTAGTAGGGTTTGGGGTGGAGCATAACTAGTCTAGGAAGCATTAACAGGGAATGTTCTCTGTTCACTTGGAGCTGGAGCTAAGATGGCTCAAGGCAACTTTGAAAACAAACCATCAGATTTTATTTTACAAAAAGATATTAAGACATATTTTCACTGTAAAGAAGTAATCTTTTTTGTGAAATTTTATTCATTGTCAGCCAATCAGGGTGAGGGAGCCCTTTCCTGTCCCATGTCAATTTTCTTCTTTTTATCTTTCCTTGATTTTTTCTAAGATTTTGATCCCTTGATCTCAAGGATTGATGAGGGCCAGCATTCTTTTTTCTAAAACTTCTTCCGGCTGAATAGGAATGTAGACCTGTGATGATTTGAATGAGAATGGGCCCCCTAGGCTCATATGCTTTAATGCTTGGTCCTCTGTTGGTGGAACTGTTTGGGAATAATTAGGAGGTCTGTCCTTGTTGGAGTAGGTGTGGTCTTGTTGGGGTAGGTGTGACACTGGGGATGGACTTTAAATTTTCAAAAGATGAAGTGTAATTCCCAGGGATCTTTCTCTGCATCCTGCTTACAGATCGAGATGTGAACTCACAGCTGTTCCTGCCATCATGCCTTTGCTCTGCCATCATGGACGCCTAACCCTCTGAAACGATAATCCCACTTCAACAGTTTCTTTTGTATGTTGCCTTAGTCATGGTGCTTTGTCATAGCAATGGAAAAGCAACTAAGATAGTACCCTATGCATGGATCAAACACTTCAAACTGTCTGATTTCAGGGAGACACAGGAAGGTCTTAGCTTGGAAGTTAGAGGATTATGATTTGAATGGAATCGGGAAGAAAAGATGTCATTCCTGAGGATACCAAGCCACATGAACAATAAAGTTTACAAAGATTATTCTGTTAAATCCTCGGAGTAACACCTCGGAGAAGAGGACTTTTCCTGTCATGAACTTCTTGAGAACTGTGATGCTAGTGAATCGTGACACTATTCAGTATGCGCTGATCCAGCTCTTCTTATTCACAAGCTTCACGGTGCTTTCTGCCACCAGGGTGACAAACACAATATGGAGCAGTCAAACCTGAAGAAGACAGAAACACAAGAGAAAAATCTTCTGCCCTCACAATAAGCAATGGACCAGGAGAAATGAGCAGGGGAATTGTGACGAGGAGGGAGCTCTGATATGCAAGACTGCCTTCTTCTGGTAATCTGGTCCCCTATTTAACCTTGTAAAAATGTAAAGAGCAGGTTTAGATAGCTGTACAGCCCCTTTCACATCATCGAGACCCACAGACAACGAAGGGTCATGCCTGCCTCTACCATCTGCCGGTCTGTGTGACAGGAAGACTTCCACATCAGTAGAGGAAGAACCTGGCCAGAGGTGGTGAAATCTAGAGTAAGATCTAAAATGGTCCAAGATACCTTACCAGCAGCAGAATGCAGTTTAATCAGAGTGTCATTTTTGTTCAAATGATTTTAATTATTGGAATGCAAAGATTTTAATATGCAAATTTAAAAACCTGTAAAAAACTTAAGGCATAATCTGTCAATGGTTTAATTTGGGTATCAAATCTTGAAGGACTAAGGACACATTGCCTGAGTTGTCAGGTGTATGTGCACATCTGTAACAGGCTTTTTCTTTTGGGCCACCACCGGCTCCCAAATTGTGACATGGAGACTTATTGTTAGTTATGAATGCCTTATCTTAGCTCTTATTTTAATCTGTTTCTCTTTATCTACATTTTGCCTCAGTGCTTTTTACCTCCTCTGTCTCTCTGTCTCTCTGTCTCTCTCTGTCTCTGTCTCTGTCTCTCTCTCTCTCTCTCCTACTTTCACTGCTTCTCATGTCTGACTGGCAGCTGCCTGGCTGCTGACCCTGGGCATCTTCCATCTCCCTCTCCTTTTCCCTCCATCTCCTCCTCCTTCTGTTCTCTCTCCGTCCGCCAGCCCCACCTATCCATCCTCTGCCTAGCTATTGGCTATTCAGCTCTTTAAGAGACCATTCAGGCCGGGTGGTGGTGGCGCACGCCTTTAATCCCAGCACTCGGGAGGCAGAGCCAGGAGGATCTCTGTGAGTTCGAGGCCAGCCTGGGCTACCAAGTGAGTTCCAGGAGAGGCGCAAAGTTACACAGAGAAACCCTGTCTCGAAAAACCAAAAAAAAAAAAAAAAAAAAAAAAAAAAAAAAAAAAAAAAGAGACCATTCAGATGCCTTAGGAAGGCAAGGTGAAACAGCCACACATCTTTACATAATTAAACAAATGCAGCATAAACAAATGCAACACATCTTTGCCTAGTTAAACAAATTTTTTTTTTTTTTTTTTTTGGTTTTTCAAGACAGGGTTTCTCTGTGTAGCTTTGCGCCTCTCCTGGAACTCACTTGGTAGCCCAGGCTGGCCTCGAACTCACAGAGATCTGCCTGCCTCTGCCTCCCGAGTGCTGGGATTAAAGGCGTGTGCCACCACTGCCCGGCCTAGTTAAACAAATGTAACATACCTTTACACAGTTAAAGTAATATTCTGAAACATAAACAAATGTAACACACCTTTACATAGTTAAATATTCCACAGCACACATCACTCTCGTTTTGGGCTTTTTAAACGTTTGTTTGTCTTTCTCTTGCATGGCAGAGTCTTTACTTTTAAAGGATATCATTAGACCAAATAATAACAGGTAACAAGTTCTTGAGTCATATTATATAATAACTTTAACATAAACGGTGAGACTAAAGAGAAGTACTCATGTTTATTATTCTAATCCTCAACAGGTATGGACCAATTTTGAACTGGCTGCTGCCTAATGCAAGATACAATAACTATTGCTACCACTTCAGAAAGTAAGTATGGTGGTTAAACTTTGTTGTCAACTGATGGTATTTGGAAACACCATGGAAACAAATCTCTGGGCATGTGTGATGGTTTATATTGATTGTCAGTTACACAGGATATAAAATCATTTTGGAGACAAATCTCTGGGCATGTTTGTGAGAGATTTCCTAGAACAGGTCAACTGAGTTTGAAGACCTAGCCTCCTAGTCAGAATTAAAAGGAGGAAGTGAGCCAAACATCAGCCATATCTCTTCCTCACTGCAGATGAAGCATCAGTTGGATGTTATCGAGCTATCCTTGGGGCTGGTGTTCTCCAAGATACATGATTTTAAGCTCTAGATTGTAAATGTTGAAAATTAATAGCAGTGAACTCAGGGCCAATTGGTCTTATTATGTAATAATAAGTAGTAATCTGTGTCTTGTGTACTTACGTTAATTTATGTGTTAGGGGTGATGATGGATGTTGATCTATAAAAAAAATCAACTGCTTGTAGAAAACAAAGTGAGGAGAGTGCTGAGATTTAGGACTGAATTCACCAAATTAAAAGGCCGTTGTTCTTATTGCAAATATATTGTCTCTTTAGTGTCTTTGTGTAAGTGAAATAATGCCCTACACACAAAGATCACATCCTCTGTTCCTTAACACCTGCGATTAAGTTACCTTCCATGGCAAAAGGGACTTTTCAAGTGTGGGTAAGGGTCATGAAATGAGAGGGTTGCTCTGAGTATCTATGTAAGCCTTGTATAATTACCAGGACCCTCATAAGAGGGAAGCCGAGGGTCAGAGATAAAGAAGACGTGTATTGGGGTGTGAAAATAACGTGTCCCCCACAGGCCTACGTGTCACCACCTTGAGGGGCCAGCCTCCAAGGCTGCGCACGGGGCTTGTAAACTAAGACTCTAGGGAATCAAGACACCCACACACCCTCTTCGTGTTTCCTTTCTTTATTCTCCTCTCTCGTGTCTTTTTACAGCGTGTGTACCCCAACAAACTCTTCCAGGCAATACAGGAGTCATACGAAGGTTACATTCCATTTTTAAGTGGATGATTGTAGAACCCGCGACTATGTAAACATTTTGAACTAACACCCTGGAGTCAGAAGTCACAAATCCGCATGCCCTCTCCTATCTCAGAGGCCAGGAGAGTCTCAGGACATAAATTCTCTAGTTCGGGCTCACGTCAACATTCCTGAGAGAGCATGTGTGTATATATATATATATATTTAAGGTATGATCATTTATTTGTTACCCTTAAAGACTTATTTTTGGCTGGACTCAGATTTGGAAGTAGAAGCTCTCAGCGAGGATAGTCTACGTCTCTTGGCGATCTGTTCTTGGCCCTTTTCTTGGGCTTCCTTCATTCTCTTGGACAAAAGTTTAGCATATTCTGCAGCCTCCTCCTTGTTTTTCTTTGTTCATTGTTTCTTCAGAACAATCTGCCAGCATTTGTGTTGCAGGACACGTGGGGTAACAAGATGCTGGATCTTGGGTGTTCGGTCCTGGGCTTCTTACCTTCTTTGTTCAACGACTTTCTGACCACGTATTGGTGGACATCATCTTCTTTAGAGAGATTAAAAAGCTTTCGGATTCTGCTAGCTTCTTTAGGTCCCAGCCGACGAGGCACAGTAGTATCTGTCAGTCCAGGAACATCCTTCTCTCCTTTTTTTACAATGGGCAGGTCGAGAACACTCAGGTTGGCATCCACATTGCATCCTCGAACAGACTTGCGCTTCCTCTCTCCTGTTCTCCGACAAGAATGCCCCTTACTCAAAAACACACTCTGCCATGGGTCAAAACGCCTCGAATCATGGGAAAACCTTGTTTGTCATTCCCGCCACTGAGTGGGAGCACACAATCCTTCCACTCTCCACCCAGAGCATCAGCAGCCACTTCTGTGGCCATGGGCTTCTCATAGAACATGCGAAGCTTGCATCATCGTCCACTTCGATGAGTTTCTGACAGCCGGTGGCAGGGAAGGAGATATTCAGTTTCATCTTGACACAGCCAACCGCCTAAGAGGTACCACGAAAAAGAGCACGTATATCTTTTAGTATCAGCTCAGTCGGCACTTTCTGAGATACTGTGGCACCATGACACTTAAAGCTTAAAATGTACTTTCTGCCCTGTGTGTGACTCCTGACTATCAAAAGAAACCTGTAGTCCTTTACTGGGGCTACAGAGTCAAATTATTTTCTGTAGCCCTGACTAGTCAGAATTTATTTTCACAAATTGAGGTCAGGAATGGGTGCAAGGAATTAATCATTCGTCAGGCTAGGAATAATCAGGCTGTTTTGTACTCATGATCCTAGCTATGTGTCTTTGTGAACTATGGACTGCTTTCCTGGGAATGTTTATCTTAAAAACCATTAGCAAGGCATCTGGTCTAATCTAAAGCTATTTTGAAGCTTTGTGTCAGCTAATGATTCACATGAAACCTGTGATTGCATTTCTCAGCATTAAGATTAAAGGAATTTGAGCCAGCCTGGCTCCTGGACTCAGATGTTTTCCTAAATCATAAATCTGAGCTGTGATCTAAAGCAGAGTCTAAGTGGAACTCACAGGCCTTAGTTATGAAACATATCCTAGTATTTATTTTTATTCATCAAAACTCTGTATCAGTTAGACAATACAGCTTAAGGAGGAATCATCTTCCTGACAATCCACAGATATAAATGCCCAGTAGATTGAGATGTTCTCATGATATAAACACACTATAACACAAGTAGGGAGGGGCTCCCCACATCCATTGCCAGATACCGGGAAAGATTATAGCAGCAGCATGTAAAGGCAGAGCAGAAGCAAAAGACATTCCAGGGTCTGTAGTCTTGTGACCTTGCTTTAACGAGATTTATCCATCAGAGAGTTTACCTCCTGGTGGACTGCCACCTTGAATTTCAATCGCCATGTGCTGCTCTGACATGGCTGTGGGCATCGATATGGTTATTGGCACTTGATGTGTTTTAACTCGCTTCCAAGCTGGTGGCTCTGTCTGGAAAAGCTATGGAAGCTTTAAGTGGAGCTCTTTGAAACTTAAGTCCCGATTCCAGACATGGATCTCTAGGGATTTAGTGTTTGTTCTACTGTGTTTTGCTCCTGCTTTGGTCTAATATTTCCTCATAATGCCTGTATTCCTCCCTTTAGGATGAGAATGGATATATTCTGTGCCATTGTGTGTTGGAATTATGTAATTAAAAAAAGTTTTACATGCCGGGCGGTGGTGGCGCACGCCTTTAATCCCAGCACTCGGGAGGCAGAGCCAGGCGGATCTCTGTGAGTTCGAGGCCAGCCTGGACTACCAAGTGAGTTCCAGGAAAGGCGCAAAGCTACACAGAGAAACCCTGTCTCGAAAAACCAAAAAAAAAAAAAAAAAAGTTTTACATGGGGTTATATAGCTAAAAGTCTGCCTTGAGTCACAAGAGAGGCTTTTCACTTTGTGCTTTTAAATAGTGTTGGGACCGACAAAGACTGTGGGTACTTTTGAAATTAGTCTAAGTTCATTTTTCATCATGCAATGGCTATGAGCCCTTCGGGGCTCCAGTGGAATGTTATGGTTTGGATATGGAATGTTTCCCATAGGCACATGTGTTTGAAAACTTGGTCCCAAGCTGGTGACTCTGTCTAAGAACCTTTGGGAGGTTTGGGCCTTGTTGGAGTCACTGGGGCAGGCTTTGAGGTTTTGTAGCTGGGAGCCACTTTACTGTTCTGCTTCCTGATTGCAAGGCTGGCCTCATACTCCTACTTGTCATGACTTCTCTGTGTGGTGGGAAGAGCTGGGTTCTCAGGATCCAAAGCTGCAGCCCCCTGAAAGGCCCTGGCCCTAGGCCATTACTGGCTCTGTCAAATCTGGTCCTGGTTTTGAGGAGGATCTATGCCCCTTCCTCATACATCAGGGCCTCAGGGAAAGGAAAAATCTGTTTCCCCAATGGAGTCTCACTGGGTATATTAGCCACACTTCAGAAGCAGTTGGCCAGTACAAAAGTAAACTCAATGGTATTTTTGTGGACACTTTGTCTCATTTTACTTTGTTTGGGCATTTTTTTTTGTCTCATTGGTCTTTTGCTTGTTTATTTGGATATACATTTTTGTGGTTTTGTGAGGGCGTTTTTTGGTGTGTTTTTGTTTTTGTTTCTTTAAAAAAGAGAGGGAGAAAGAACATAAATTTTGAGGATGGGGAGGTAGGGAGGGCCTGGGAGAAATTCTGGAAGAGGGAAAAACATAAACAAAATACATTTTATGAAAAAAAATCAATACGTGTTGAGGGTAGAACTGATGAACGGAGGAGGAAGCCAAGCTTGTACCCAAACACAGCAAAATGTCCCCATGACCAGGGCACTCAGTGGCTTCAGCAATAGGATCTCATCTAGTTCTGCCGGGAAACCACACGCCTTATCACTATCCGTGTTATTTGGGGGACCTCAGGGCCTACCCTGGCCCCCAAGTCATAGGGAGGTAGCCTGTCTTTTGGTGCTGGGTTTTCATTAGCTACCCTTGAGGTTTCTGAATGCTCTTGCCCATCCGCTCAGGGTGCCTTTTATGTTTAAACTCTTTATCGGCTGTTTTTATAGTTCTTCCCGGTGCTTTCCCAAACACCAGCCACTCAGAAGTGACTACATCACTCACATAGTGAAAGTTTTTTTTTTTCCAGGGGCTGGGGGTTGCAGTAGCTCTGGGGGTTCACAATGTCCTTCTAATCACATACCCACTGGTCATAGGAGTCAGCAGCTAAGGGGAGACCAAAGGAAAATGTTAGCAAGGTCCTATATAGCATGGAAAGTTTCCATTGTATGGCAGCTCTTCCTGGAAAAGATCAGCTTGGGACACAGTGGTATGGATGGGAGGCACTGCCTCAACCCTCCACAATGTACAGGCTTCATGAGCAGTCTGGCTTCCTCGTCTTGGGGTGCAGTCACTGGCGTCTTGAGCATCTCTTCATTCCCAAGGAGCTAGGAGGGCTGACTTAGTTCCTGGGATCTGTGTCGGGCCAATAGGGAGCAGACTCATGTTCTCA